TCCTGCTGCGAGAAACAAGAAGTATTAAAACCAATAAAGTAACAGTCCTTATTCACAAGCAAGAAACTACCCACACCATCAACCCTTGCTGCCTAAACAGAACAGCGGATTACTATTTCTGCTACAGTCTCCCACCTAGCTTGGCCTACACAAGGGATGAAGTCCTGGGAAGGAGAATGGAGTGAGGGGAAAAGAGAAGCAGAATCTCTTGAGAGCAGAGCAATGGATAACAAGAAATAAGCTAGCCAATTTGCTGCATTTCCCCTGCACTAACTTGTACCTAGGACTGCTAAGGAAAGACTCATCTGTAGTAACTGGGCCACACTGGCCTGCACTGTATTTCAAGCTGTGAATGAAACTCAACAAATGGGGAAGAAACATCTTTAACGTTGCTAGTGGGATGAATACAATAACTGGAGATTTCTTTTTTTTCTCTGTACCAACTTCTGTGGACATTATCACGTCCTTTCATCTCTGATTCTCAAATGCTCTCTATGCCGATTATGCCCCTAAAATGGGAGCAATAAATCTTCTGGATTTCACTGGAGTGCTGGACAGCTTCATTTGCTGCTAACATGAAGTGCTTCTTTTGTCTGCTGATAAAACTAAGTGCTTCAGAGAGCCTCAGCAGATGCTATGGAAATTAGGAGCACCAAAGAACCAGACTTCAGCCTGACAGATATGCTACATTTTTGATACTGGCTGGGGGGGGCACATGGTCCAAATGCCAGATTTCCCAGATGTGAACAGAAAGGCTCATCTGATTCTACCCAGGGGCACATAAGACCCCTAGAAACTGCAGCATGGTTTCACCACGTGCAGCTATAAAACAAGCAATTTTAATACATACTACCACTTGAATTACAAATTTAGCATCACTACACTGCATTGTAAGAATAAGCTGCATTATAACGCTTAAGACATCTTGACTAGTGTATAATACAGGTCTAGTGTGTAACTCAAAAAAGGTATGGAGAAAAGCAAAAAGATGGCATGAAGATAAATAGTAGCAATATCTTACGGATCATCTGGAGGGCTGGGGACAACACAGAATGGCGGACTCTGCACCAGAAGGGACTTCAATTCTCTCGATTCATCATCTTCTTCGTACTAGAGATTCAGAATAACTGTTACAGCACTCTATTTGATTGCAAATATGCCCAGAATTCAACATTTGACCCTTCTGCTGAGTGAAGACTGACTCATGAGCAGGTGAACTCACACAAATCCCGTTTGTTTCGATCACTGTGCTGCCAGCATTTATGCTGCATAGCAGTCTGTGCCATGTGTAATCTTTGTTTAAATATTTAACAGTCATACCTGATCAGACCTTAGTGTGAATGTTATTTACAATCTTTAAAACATTTAATAAATGGCATGTGACATGAGGGATGATGCAGGTTTTTTAAAGAATTAATGTGATTTTAATCATACAATTCTTATAAACTCTACTGGAAGTAGTGGAGCATATATCCTCATGTCAATCTTGAAAATCTTAGAGCAGGTCTTCCTACCGTGCCAGGGACTGAAAGTTCACCAGTGATTTAAGTTTGAAGTTCCCTCTCAACTTCCATGGGTCAGGTTCCAGTTCCCTCATGCAGTATGACCATCCTCTAATAGTCCTTGATTATCATCAGTTTACCTGAACTTTGTCATCAAATTACACTCTTAAGGTCACTCTCAGCCACCTGGCTATTTTCTATACACCTGTTTTTCATAAACAGATATCCTCTCTTTTTGAATGTGTTACTGTTCTGCTCTGCTGAAGAGAAAGTAGAATTCTACAGCTCAGTCCCAGTAAAACCAGGTAGGATACTGCCTCTCTGTATTAGAGAAGCGTTAGAACTTGCTATAATGTCCTGGATTATCTGGTTTAAAGCCTCTATTTCCTCTAAATTTCATTATAAACTTCACCTGAAACTTCAAGACAGGCCCATCAGCATTTATTTTTGAACTAATGCTCTCTGCCACAATCATTCCCAGACGCCGTATCTGTGGTAGATTGCTGTCCAAGTGGCATTTCACACCCTCCATCATGCTTGTGAGAAGCTCTGAAAAAAAACCAAAACAGTGCATGAAACAATGACAGAAACAAAGATCCATCTTCATGCTGATTCACCTTTCCTTGTTGGTTCCTCTACTACTTGGTGAAGGAAATTGTCATTAAGGCATTCCAGGAACCTCCTGGATTGCTGATGCCCTGCTATGTTTTCCCTCCAACAGATACGGGGGTGGTTGAAATCCCCTCTGAGGACCAGGGCTTGTGGACATGAAGCTGCTCCTATCTGTCTATAGAGGGCCTCATCTGCTTGGTGTTCCTGGCCAGGTGGCCTACAGCAGACTCCCACTATATCACCTGCCCCTGTCTTCCCTTTAACCCTGACCCATAAGCTCTCCATCAGCTCATCATCCATCACCAGGTGGAGCTCCATGGACCTCAGCTAGTTACTGACACAGAGGGTGACAGCCCCTCCTCTTCTCCCCTGTCTGCCCTTCCTACAGAGCTTGTATCCATCCATTCCCACGCTCCAGTTGTAGGAGCCATCCACCATGTCTCAGTAGGGAGTATCCCTACTCACCTCACACTGAGGGGAGAATGACATGGAGAAATGCATACAGACAGTCAGGGTCCAACAAACCAGCTTTTTATCCTTGGTGTACTTTCCCCTGTATCCTTTGGAGCCTTATGTTGGAGCCATGCTCCAACAGTAAGTCTATAAATTGCAAATCACACCATTCCTCTAGCCAGTCCCAGAGTCAATCCAGACTTAATCCAGACTTTCCTGTGACAAATCTTAAGGGTTCATAAACCACTGTTCAGGTAAGAACCTTAGTTCAAAGATTATGGTTCTCCAATTTTATAACTTAAATCTATGCACCTGGAATTATATCATATCAGTGATATCTAATCAGATAGATCAGCAATATTGTACCATATCAATGAAAGAAAAAGAGGATTCCAGCAGGCCACCCCGTCTGCCAAGATAAAGATGGGACCATTTTGTTTATCCATGAATCAAAACAAGATGTTTTTCTACTCACAGTAAAACCTTCTGTTAAACAAATCCTCTGCTTCTCCTACTGCCTCACCTTGTCTGCAGCCCTCGATTTCGGACTCTTTCAGATGGAAGAGGCAGATAAGAATGGCCTTGCTAATGTACTGCTGCTGCTCAGGCGGAGAGTGTTTCACAGCACTGCTGCTGCCCCAGGTCTCCAGGAGTTCCTGCAGCACCTGCATAAGAGAACACAAGTTGGCTTCAAAGGCATCTTTTCCACATATAAGCAATCTTCTTCTTGAATGCCTTTTGAAATTAACCTTAGTTTAATATACTGTTAGATATAATGGTTCTTTTTATTTTAAAGTGATAAATATGTTTATTTCTCATAAATAAATATCATATGCAAAACAATATATAATATTGTCAAAATGATATTATATGGTTTAAGATGATTTTACTCCAATCTTGCATAGCTGTCAGTACTTCCAGATCATTTTAGAACATGTAACCAGTGGAAAAAAAAAAATGGACAAAATGGTAAAGATTTCCAGAGATACAAATTTCCCAGGAGTTTCATCACACCACTGACTTGGAGAGGGAAAACATCTTCACCTTCATTGAGGAAAAGGCAGATGAGAGAGATTCTGAAGCATCAACAATTTGTCACACAGCCAGCTCTCAACCAGCTTCATCACTTGCTGCCATCTGCCCAGCCACACAAATAGGGAATGACAGAGAAAGCAGAGAAGGATGGAGGACATGGGACATCTGTCAGAATCCAAGCCTCATTAGTTTTGATACTTGGAAGACAATTTACCAATTAAATATGAGAAAATAACATCAGCAGCGCATAAAGTCTTTGATTTCTACACCAAAATTTACTTGTAATACGGTAGGGCTTCCCTCACTCCTGAACTGTAACAAAAGTCTTTGAGAAGTACCACAACCGCGCACCTCACAGACACACACACACACACACACACACGCTCACACAGTAGAATTTTATCCATCAGATACCTCACCACCAACATTACTGAGCTTACTTTGACCAATAAGGTGCGCCGAAGGCTATCCAGGGACAGGTAGCCAAGGAGGTTCTGCAGCACTGCAGTCTGCAATGAAAACCACAAGTCTCACTTTAACTGGGTGTAAAGTTGTCAGCCAGGAATGACAAGTGTGTATTTTTATTGCATTAAGCTTTTCATTCTAAGAGATGGTTGATAATGTTCAAAGACAGAAAAGAATGCAAATTTAAAAACACAACCAAACACACACATGCAGTTGCTGATGAAATATGTGGAAAAACACAACAGGAACACAGTATAGTATTTTTACCATCAAATGATATCAGCACCATCCCAAGCAAACATGGAAAACAAAGCCTAGAGATCATCCCTCACATCACCATCACAAGGCACACAACACTTCCTAACACCTAGTGACAAACTTAGATGCACAGGAAAAGAAAAATCCCAGTCCTTGTCTCACCTCTTCAATCTAATTCTTATCCCTTAGGGTGGGTCATGGCTTCTTCAGCCTCTTCTTTCCAATTCTAAATTAACTAGATATCTCCAGCTCCCCAGAACACTGGGAATAATATATATAATTATATATAATATATATTCCAGATATAATAATCTTGAACCAAATAACCATGTGGATCCAGAGAAAAAGTACAGTAATTCTGCTAACTGCCACCAATCCTGAGAGAGCACAGGAATCCCATGCTTTCAAAGCAACCATTTACCACTCCCTCTTCCTTACGTTTAGCTGAGGGCATGTAAGTGCACAACTCAGGTACATGTGGAGAGACCAAGGGCTGATTTCAGAACGAAGAGTTAAACCTAACTCCAGAAGATCTGGAACACAGCTAAAAGACACATTGGCACTTGGGAAAAACAGGCATTACTGCACTGCTGTTCACTGTGGAGTCCTTACCGTGTGGCAATATTGCAACAGCAGCATCTTCTGTGTCACCACAAACTGAGCTTTCTTGTTTTTCACAACCAGGTTCCCCAGCAACCTCGACAAGACATCTGCCCTACCAAGACAGGTCAATAGCAAAACGTTAGGAATCCATGTAATTACTGCCATGCTGCCACTAAAGATAGGAAATTCTGTGAGCAGCTATTTGCAACAAAGTCTTAAAACACCTCTAAACTTTAGGAGCGAGTCAGTAACTGCACTGAATGTTTTCACTCCTTTTTTCACTGCACGTCAGGGCGCAGATCTTTAAGGAATGGTGCAGGTTCTACCCGAGAGGGAACAATCAACTACTTCACCTCTAGAGTCTCTCGGGAAATGGCTCTGTAAGAAAGCCCCTACACAAACACATGCACATCAACATTGTTCAAAAACCGATTCTGCAAGTATTTGTGAAAAAAACCCAGGCCTTTGCTCTGAATCAGGGAGGAAAGCAGAGCTCTTACCCAGGGATTCTCTGCACAAAACCAAGGACCACTGCTTCCATCCAGCGGTCTGGCACACATTCAACCAACCGCCAGCATATTCTTTGCCAGATGCAGTCTGACTTGGTGAGATCCGTTAAGTGGGGTACCAAAACGCTCAGAATTTCTTCTGCAGTGGAAGAAAAAACCCAGCTAAATACACCAGATAGACAGAACTGGTGCAATGGTACACAAGGTCAGCCTGCAAATTTCAAAATCATCCCAAGATGAAGCAATACAATGTACAGTTTGCAGTTCTAAGTTGTTCCTGTGGTAAGAACAAATCTAAGCAGTCCAAGGAACTTGCAAGTACTCCTCATCACAGTAAATGGCTAGAAAATCTTTCCTCCTCTTCCCCAGCCCTGTTAACAACTTCTGCATTCAGTGGCTTCAAAGTCCTAAGCAACGCCAGACTGAAGGCTCCTCACATGAGAGGGCTGTTACATGTGGGCAGTGATTTATGCTGGCATTTAGAAGGCACTTTCAGACCACTGGATGAAAAGCACTTGAAGAGCATTTAATAGTGATGCCCCAAATGGCAGACGAGAAGGCTAACAACCTCATCAATTTTTGAGAAAGCAAATCACATTCACATGAGATGACACAAAAGCATCAAGATCTATCAGATACGCAGCTGAGTAGCCCCAGAAAGCAGAGAGCAGCAGTCTGTGCAGTTCAACTCACACAACCCCTGAAGTATTAAGTCAGTCTCCTCCTCCCTCAGTCAATCATCACCACAGTCATCCTTCTGTAATCATACAGTAAAAACACTTTCCCTCTCCCCAAAATAGCATTGTAAACCACTCACTTTGTCTGCCATGAGCACACACCTTCCCCAGGACGTGAGAAACAAAAGAGATTGAGCAATCCAAGCCACCTGGAATAAAACAGACACAACTTTAACAGGAGCATTGCTAGCATCCTCCAGACAGCCCTCAGGAGGTGCACACACAGCTATGAGTACTGAGGCCTGAGAACACAGATCAACTTTTCCTCTTCAGGCATCACTTCTTCCTCCCTCCACCACCTGCCTTCAGGCACAAAATGACACTCGGTATTATTTATACACAGCAAGAGTCAGAAAACTAAGTAGCTCAGTCCCACTTTAACACAATGATACCAAAGCCATTGGTTCATTCAGTACCGTTTAAATCTTTCCTACAATTAGTTTAGCACAGACCAAGTGAACAAAATTAAGCTTTGGCAACAGAGGACGCTATTTAACAGCTTGCAGGATTGCAGCTTGCAGAGGTATTTTAAAAAGTTTCAGCCATCTTCCTCATTCCCATTATCTTACATTTTTAAGCACAACCTGAGGGATGAACGCAAGGCTCTACAATACCCGTTACCAATTTCAAATGCTAGCCAAGGGGGTTTACACACAAAACACCCCTTCAGAAGAGCCAGCTCTTTAGCACAGCCCTCTTGCAACCTCACCTCTTAGAGAATCGGAGATCTTCTGCAGCACCTGGATAATTGCACCACCCAAGAGAGGAAAGTAGTTCTGTGGGAAGAACACCGGTGGGTTTTTCCCCTGGAGTTTATTGCTCACGTGATCGGGCAAACACACAATCTTGTTGAGCAGAGCCTCCTGCAGCTCGGGTGAGCCAGCCTGTGCCTGCTGCTCACAGACCTCCCACATCAGAGCTGAAATCCGTCCCTCCTGCAGGAACTGCTCCAGCACCTCCACGATCTCCCTCGGATGAAAGCTAGGGCTGTAAGAAAGTAACTGGAATAAGTCCCTGCCCCTTTTAACTGATAAAAAAAGATGTGCAGACTAATGTTTTTCTGTTGTGGTCTCACCAGTAAAACACCGCTGCTCACTCACACAGACTTTTAATCAAAATCAAAGCGATTTTAATCTCTGTCTTTCTACAGCTTCCTCAGCTCACATTTCAGGGCATTCAATAAGCGTAACTGCAGTCAGCTCTCTGACCTCTGTGGGAAACATTACTGCTGTGTGTGGGTTCTAACGGGAATCGTGGGACCAGAGGGCAGAGTAAGCCCACCCCCCTCTTATGCCACGGCTGGGCACCCTCAGACACCCCTCTGAGGGGGAGGCGCAGCCCCCATCAGCTCTCCCGGCCACCGCGCCGGGTGACACCGCCTCCGCCCGCCTCCCACCGGGGAGCAGGCCCGGAGCCTCGGCCCGGCCCTCTAGAGCCGCCCACCCTCCCGCCGCGGCCCCAGCCGGACTGACCCCGGGGAGGCGAGGGCTTCCAGCAAGACGCAGAGGGAGAGGTCGGGCGGACTCTCCAGGAACCAGCTCCGCCACGCGTCCTCGGGCCGCGCCCTCGCCAGGCTGCGCAGGAAAGCGCCGAAGAGCGCCCGCTCCCGCTCCGCGAGGGCAGCTGGGCC